ATCCTTCCTACACGTATATTAATGTAGAGAAAATATTATATATGCAAAAGAAGAAATATATATATTTTGGTGAGGAAGATTGGCCCTGAGCTAACATCTGTGCCCATCTTCCTCTATTTTGTATGTGGGATGCCACCACAGCATGGCTTGATGAGCAGTGTGTAGGTCAGCACCCAGGATCTGAACCCATGAACCCCGGGCTGCTGAAGTGGAGTGCATGAACTTAACCACCATGCCACTGGGCTGGCCCTAAGAAATATGTTTTTGAACACAAATGGTGTCTTGTATGTTTTTCTATAACTGCAGATATCATTCTGTAATTTGCTTTTCCTCTTCAACAATCTCTGTGACAACTATGCTGTTTATAGGTTGATTGTCTTCTTCTTTTTGCTGAGGAAGATTGTCCCTGAGCTGACGTCTGTGCCAATCTTCTTCTGTTTTGTATGTGGGATGCTTGCACAGCATGGCTTAATGAGCAGTGTGTAGGTTCACGCCTGGGACCCAAACCCGCGAACCCCAGGCTGCCAAAGTGGTGTGTGAACTTAACCACTACGCCACCAGCCTGGCCCCAATCTTCTGATTTTTATCTGATGCATGTAGTAAGGCAAAGTATGGACTACACCACACTTTATTAGCCATTCCCTACTGACAGACTTTCAGTTCATTTCTAAATTTTCACCCCAGACCTGGTGAAGTAAAACACTCAATGGCATCAGTTTTGGGCCCTCCTTTTATTTTTTTAAATCGTGAGGTGTATGAAGGACACAAAATGAACAAATATAGCATGTGTGTGGAGTTTAAAGAATGACAGATGCACACCGAATGCTTATCACCCAGTACGACAGGGACGGCCAGTGTCTTGGGAGCCCCTCCCTGAACTGCCCCCCTCGCTTCCCTTAGAAGAAACTGGGGCCCTGAATGTTGTTAAGCATTTCTTTGCTTTTCTTTATGTTTTTTAAAAACATGTATGTATCCCCAAACAAGATACTTTGGGGCTTTGCCTACTTTTGACCTTTCTGTAAGGAAATACAGTTTCTCCACTTCTGTGGCCCGTGTGTTTGCTCAGCGTTCTGTTTCTGAGATTCACCCTGTGACGCATCTGCAGAGCGGGTCCTTTCTCGATGCCGCACAATGTTGCACTGGATGACCATCCTACCGCTTACTGATCCTACTTCCTGCCCAGGATGTTGGGTCGTGGCCATGTGTTCTCCTCTGCTGTCCCCTTGGGGTTGGAGAGGAGGTGGGAGGTTGAACTTCGGCATGTTACTTCAGGCACCTCTGGTCTTGGGGAACTGGCATCCACCTGATTTCCACATCCCCGCGGGTGGACGGGAGGGCTGAGGCAACCACACCACGGAGGCCAGAAAAAGAAGTCCTCAAACGACCCTTTGGCCTGATAAACCAGGGAACGGGGCTGAGTCTCCAACTGGCAGCACCCCTCCCCTTCTTTCGGGGCCAGCCTGGTGGGGGCTGTTGTGCGAGCAGCTGCAAGAAATGGAGGGATGTCGGCTTCTTGCCCTCCTGGTCCTCCCTCCTTCTGTTTTCTTTTCTTTTCTTTTTTTTTTTTTTAAAGATTGGCACCTGAGCTAACAACTGTTGCCAATCTTTTTTTTCTTTCTTCTCCCCAAAGCCCCCAGTACATGTTGTAGATTCTAGTTGCGAGTGCCTCTGGTTGTGCTATGTGGGATGTCACCTCACCATGGCCTGATGAGCGGTGTCATGTCCATGCCCGGGATCCGAACTGGTGAAACCCCCAGCTGCCGAAGCGGAGCGCGAACCTAACCACTCGGCCACAGGGTCAGTCTCTCTCCTCTAGTTTGGTCCCACGTCATTACTCCTTTGGTCGTGACTTGGGGAAAATCAGTTTTATTTAGGCTACAACTTGTTCTCACCTTGTCGGGCTCCAAGGACTGCTTATGTGATCCAGCAGCCTATCCTCTTCACTCCACCTGCCAAAATACGCTCTGGTTATACAGACATTTAAAGATGTGTGTCTACATAAGCTTGTATTTATAAATAGGGATCTAGATATAGATGGATAAAGAGCCCCCTGCTCATCATCTCCACCTTCCACCTGGTCCAAGCCACCATGAGACCACATGTGAACTCCCACAAGATCCCTTAACAGGTCTCTCTGCTTGCACTCCGTCCACCCCCCAAACCCAATGTTACTCATTCTATTGCCATGTAGTGCTAGAACAGTCCTTTCAAAAGGCACCACATCACTCCCCAAATGGCTTCTCATCACACTTTGAATAAAATCCAAAGTCCTTACCTCATGGCCTCCCAAGGCCCTATATGGCCACTACCATTTGACGGGGTCAAGTGTGCCCCAGGGCCTTTGCACTCACTATGCCCTCTGTCTGGATGGTTCTTCCCAAAGATCAGCACTGGGCTGGGTGCCTGAGTTTGTTTACGTGGAGAATCCTCAGTTCTTGTCCTCCCTGTCCTAATGGAACCCTGACACAGGAGCTGCGATAGATGGGTCCTGGCTTGGGGATCTGACCCTCCCTAGTTATTACTGATGGCTTCATATCTTCAGACCAGGAGTGTAGACCATAGCACGTGGGCGAGGAACGTGTCAAAGTGAACAGAAGCACGTCCAGGGGAAAGTGAGAGTGAAATACGACCTCTGGCAACTTTCAGTTGGGATGCTTTGGGCACGAAGTTGTGACCCTCAAAGCCCAGCGGCTGAAGCCCTGAGGACAGGTACTGGTCATTCACCGGGAAGCCCAGGGCTAGGTACAGCCTTGCTCAGGCAGCTCTGCGAGGACGGGGCTTCCCCTCTACTGCCCTGCCATCCTCTGTTTAAGGGCTTTCTACACCCTTGTTTCTCGGGACCAGGAAAGGTCTGTCGCAGCTCCCAGGAGAAGGACCTGGCCATCAGGGGAACACTTTTCCCCAGGCTGTAGTACCCCCCCTTTTGGTCTCTTTGACCACTCACATGCGGCCCCTGGGCCAATCACTGGCAAAGGAGAAAAAGGAGCCCTGTGACTGACTTAGACCAGTGGGTCTTTAATTCGGGGCACGTTGATCCCTGGAGGGAATACGAAGAATTTCCAAGGGACGTGGACGCACAGGTCCTTTTAATGCAATTAATTGACAGATCCTCAGTCTCATATGTACTCAGTCCTTACAGTTGCCAGAGAAAGCATCGATCGCCCTTCACCTGCTGAACAATGATAACAGAGGCTCGCTTGTATCGCGCACCCCAATTCTGCCCGGCGCGCCTGGCCCTGGGTGGAAACAGCTACCCAGCACCAGAGCTTCTTTAAGTGAGTAAATACCATTCTCTCATCTTTCTTGGGCTCAGACATTTCCCCTAAGGGTGAAGTTTGGCTTGGGTTGAAAGGCACTGATTTTAGAACCACCAAAGCAGTGAAATTTACTGACACTGATTCTTCTAATTGAAACTGGAATATTTTCCAGTACTTCTAAATTTCTCAAGATACATTGAAGAACATCCATACATTTTTATATGCAATTTCTTTCAGATTTGGTGTCCATTCGTCAATGAGAGAAGGGGAGGGGGCTCTTCTGGCAGTCATGTTGATACAGCAAGCGCCCTGTTTTAAGTTAGAATCTAGTTTACTTGTGGTGGCTGGGAGATGGAAGCTGTTTAAGATTAAGTGGGAGAGATAGGAGGTTGCTTCATAAAACTGCAATGCTGTGAAATCCTGTCCTTGCGGGGAGCTGACTGGGCTGGCTGTGAGAATTACTACAGGATTATGGGAAAGTCCCAGCACAGTGCCAACTGTGAGTACAGTACATACACCCTCCGAATATATCCAAGTCCCATTTTTCTCTCCATTTCCACAGCTGCCACCCTGGGCTAGCCACCATCACCTCTTGCAACATCATCGTAAGTGGTCTCCCTGCTTTGACCCTGGCTTCCTGAAGACTGTTCTCACTCAGCAGACGGAGGGATTCCTATCACAGCTGCAGTCAGAGCGTGTCCCTCTTCTGCACAAAACCTTCCGATGCTCTCATCTCACCCAGGGTAAAAGCCAAAGTCTTCGACGGTCTCCAGGACCCACCTGAGCTGTCACCTCTTCCGTCACTGACTTTATCTTCTACCCCAGGTCTTGCAAGTCAAAGACACTGGCCTCCTTACATAGTTCTGTAACCATGCCCAACACTCTCCGGCCTCAGGGCCTTAGCACCTGCTGTTTCCTCTGCCTAGAAACTTTCCCCCCAGATAGCAGTAGCTCACTCCTGTCACTCTCAAGTCATTGGCAGAGGTCACCTCTTCAATGGGACTTTCCCTGACAATCCTATTTAAATGGAAACCTCCTCCTATGTTTTCTATCCCTCCCTGCTTTCCGTCTTTCCATAGCACTTAATACCTTTATCATACGAATAATATTGTACGTATTATTCTGCTAAGTACTTGGGATAGTCATGGGTACACTACGTATCTTCCCGTATGCATTACCCCATGTATGACATACACGATGTATCTATTTGTTAATTGTCTCCTCTCCTTCCCACACCTGTCCCCCACCCTTAGCCCCACTTGCTGGAGGGGCAGGAATTCTGCTTTATTCACATCTGTGTCCACAAAGCTCCGCAGCGGGCCGGCTCCCCAGCAGGCGAGCAGCAAACGCCTAAAGGAAGAACGAGTCAATACTGAATGAACCAACCCCGACACCAGCCAGCGCGGCTTTAACCCCTCCGCGTCCCGGGGGAGGGCGGGGAGCCGAGGCCCAACGCGCCTGCGCAGCCCCGCCCACGCTGTGGGCGCGGGTTCGAGTCCCGGCGGCGAGCACTCCTTTGCGAGGCCGGCGGGCGCGGAGGGTTACACGCGGAGAGGGGCGGGGCCTCCTAGGGGCGGGGCCTCCTAGGGGCGGGGCCTCCTAGGGGCGGGGCTGGTCGGGGGCGGGGCTTGTCGGGTGTCCCGCGCAGGCGGCCGCGCCGGCGGCACTCGCGCCGCTCGCAGCCCGCGCCGCCCCAGCGTCCGCCGCCGCTTCGCCCCCCGCCGCCCTCCGCCGGCCCCACCGCCGCCCCCGCCGCCCCGGCCCGGCCCCGCTCCCCGCGCAGCCCCGGCCGCCCCGCACCATGTCCAAGGAGTCGCGGCCCGGGCGGGAGGAGATCCTGGAGTGCCAGGTGATGTGGGAGCCTGACAGCAAGAAGAACACGCAGATGGACCGCTTCCGGGCGGCCGTGGGCGCCGCCTGCGGCCTGGCGCTCGGTGAGTGCGGGGCGCGGCCCGGCCCGGGGGCTCCGGAAATCGGGCTCCCCCTCGCGGCAGGGGGCCCCCTCCTGGCGACCGGGCGCCCGTTCCTGGGCGCTGCTGTCAGGGCCCCTCCTAGTTGTTGGAACGGCCTCCTGATGTCCTCTGTCTCTCTTCTGGGACGGAAACCGGACGCGGGGCCCCGGTCCGGGGCGGGGGGCACCTTCTGACGGTGGGGTTTCCCCCTTGTCCGTGCGCGTGTCACCTCGTCTGCTTTCACGGTGCCCGGCTCCCACCGACTGAGGGATCTGCCTCCCCGGGAGGATCCCCCCTCTGGCCTGGAGCCCCCTGTGGACTGGGGGGGGTCCCTTGCTAGGCTTGCCCCTGTGTGGTGAGGTGCTCCCTGGGGTCTTGCTCTCCAGCCTGGGGGGCTTCCTCCCAGTAGGGCCTCTCTGACTTTGGCTCTTCCCCTCTGTGGGGTCACCTGCCAGGCGATAGTGCCTTGTCGTAGCCCCCAAGGCTGACCCTGCAAGAAGGTCAGCATTGAATTCCAGGCACCTGGGAGAAGGATGCTCAGGGAGGAGCCTTCCTTTGGGATGCGGTGGATCTCCTTCCTCTCCTGTTTACGCTCCCAGCCCCAAACAGAGGCTGGTCCAGGGCCCTCCTTCCAGCCACCGCCCTGGCCCTCAGGAACCTCCTGGCTGGTGAGGGCTGGGCCGAGGAGGGCCCCTTTCCCCGTGCTTTCCCCTACCTCTGGGTGGTTTGTCCTGCTACCTGGTGGACGCCCCGCAGGGGTTTTCAACTCGTCATGGCCTTTCCTCCCCTTTGCACCCCCTCAGCTGGCTGTGGGGACCCCTGTGTTTCTGTTGGTGGCATCACTGTCCTCAGTCAGCCTCACAGAAATGGAGACCCGGTCCCCTGGCTTGCAGGGACGCCCGCCTTGGCAGCACCGCCTGCTCTGTCTCCCTCTTCCCGCCCAGCGCAGCGCTTCTCCTGGGGCCCTCTCTCCTCTTCCCTGAACCGGTCAGTGTCCTCCTCCCTGCTTTTCCTCCCTCGCCCGGTCAGTGCATCCTGCTTGCTTCACCAGAGGAGTCTTGAAGAACAGGTCTGACTTTGTCACTTCTTGCCTCGCAATGGCTCCTTGTTGACCGTTGTATTGCCAACAGTCCACCTGGCAGCTTCCAGGCCCTCCACAGCCTGGTGGCGTTGTGGCTCCCCGGCTCCAGCCTTCTCCCTGCCTGCTGCTCGCTCGAGAGTGGGCACCTTGGAGACAGGTGCGGTCTTATTCCTCTCGGGGCTTGTTGGGTAGTAGTCGGTCAATTAACGTGTGTTGGATTGGGAGAGAACAGACTTGATCCCCAGGAAAAGCCAGGAGTAGGACATTCTTTTGGGTTACTTAGCCGTGATTCCATCTCTCTTTGCTCTGCTAGCAGTAATGGTGCTTGTCCAGCTCTGACACTTTACGAAATGATTTCACATAAGGGCAGCCCTGTAATCTGGATTTTGAACTGGGTCTATCACTTCCTAGCTGTTTAAGCAGGAGGAAGTCGCTGGGGCTCCACAAGCCTCAGTTTCTACATCTGGAGAATGGGCTTGTATCATTGAGAGGCTCATTCTATCATAATGAGAGGACTTGCATCATGAGGGGTGTGAGGGGGTCACCCACGCCTGGCCCGTGGGCGTTGCTGAGTAAACACCAGCGAGCACCGGTAGTTCCCGGCTGCCTGCTGGCCTCCTCTCCGTCCTTCAGGGCTTGTGGGCTGGTGGCCTATAGGCCAGATTGGACCTGCAGACGTGGTTCAGTGGCTCACATACTGCCAGACTGCATAGGAAAAGCAAGATTGCCAAGGTCTTTTGAAAACCCGAAGACCTGTGATGCTGGGTCTGTGTGCCCACGTGACAGCGGCCGGCCGAGCTGAGCAGGGTTCCTCTCTTGGTTGGGGGGCTGCTTAGAGCTCAGGTCTTGCCTTTTCCTCCTCTTGCGCTGCACCCCCCTGCTCCTCTCCTTTCCACAGGCCCGGCCCTGGAGGTTGGGGCCTTTGAGGTCCAGCTCACACACTCCCTTCTCTTTGATTGTTCTCCTTGATGGTTTTTTCTGCTCCTCCACTCTCCAGGGGCATGTAACTTGGATGTTCATCCCACCTTGCCTTTTCATTTATTTGTGGGCGTTCTTATTGCTGAAGACAGTGCCCTTGGACTTGATCCTCTGTGCCTCCAACAGTGGCTTGTGTGTAGCTGGTACACCGTCTGGAGCAATGCTGTTGACTGGATGTACAGAGAGAGCCAGGACCACATCCTCCCAGGCCCCCTCAGCCTTCCCAGCCCTGAGGGTGGACAGATGGGGGGGTGTTCCTCAGCCTGGCGCCTCTCCACGAGCCAGACCAACATCCACGGGCATGAAGTTTCTGTCCCTGTGGTTCAGGAAGGGCAGGCCTTGGTGGAGTTACGTGTCCTCTTGCCACTCTCAGAGCCATGGGTTGGTTGGTTCTTGTCACTGCTTCTAGCAGGGTCACCTGAGGACTCCCCGCACCCACACATAGGCCTCGGGGGCCCTGTGGATGTGGGCCTCCTCGGAGCAGCCTGCAGCTGCAGCCCAGCATCTGCACTTGTGGTACGAGGTGTCTTCCGTGGGCCCGGGACCTGCTGTAGGCAGCAGCCCCTGTCATTAGGGGAGTGGCACCAGCTTCAGGCCATGCTCTTTGGGAGGACTGCGCCAAGTGTCTCTCTCTATGCCACCAGCTGCAGGTCCCCTCTGGATGCCAGCAGCTGGAATGGAGTTTGCTGCAAACAGAGGGCATGGTCTCAGTTCTGACAGCTGGAGCGTAGGTGCGGGAGGGAGTAGCGCTCCAGGCGAGTCCGTGCTGAGCGGCAGCACACCATGCTGGCGGCTTCTCAGCGCCGCACTGTGTGGGTCCATTGGAGAAAGCAGTTTAAAAGGGCCTGTGGAGTCTGAGCTGAGATTGGAAGGTGGCGGCCGATCATAGTTCCCCCAGGTGGAGAGGAAGGAGGGGTGACGCGGGAAGCAGGCTGCCAGCTCAGACACCTGCAGGGACCAGGCAGGCGACAGAGGTGTTTGTGAGAGTTGCTATTTCCTGAGTTCTCTCTACGTGCCAGGCCCCATTCGGGCACTTTACAGGTATTAACTAAATCCTCAGTGACTGGCCAGCGGGTGCTGCTCTTGACCCGTTGTCCCGCTGAGAAAACGGAGGCTCAGAGTCTTGGTTGAGGTCTCGCCGCTCTGAGTGCTGGAGCAATAGTCCCTTTCCAGAATCAACGCTCTTTACTTCTGTGTTGTTCCTTCTCGTGTGGGTGAAGGGCCAGGCGGGCAGCTGTTAGCAGCTCTAGCTGATTGTCCCCATGTGGTGTCACAGTGTGTTAGTTATCTGTTGCTGCCTTACAAGTTACCCCGAGACTCAGCGACTTCACGCAACGATAAAGAGTCTCTATCTCTGAGTCGCTGTGGTCAGGCCCCTGGGAGGGGCTCAGCCCGCTGGCTCTGGCTCTGGCTCTGGGCCTCGTTAGGCCGCAGCCCAGCGGTCTGCCGGGGTTGCCATCATCGGATGGCTTGACGGGGGCTGGAGCAGCCACTTCCCAGGTGACTTGCACACGTGGCCATGAGTCAGTGCTGGGTGTGGACAGGAAGCCTCTGTTCCGTGCCAGGCAGCACGCCTCGCGACGTGGCCACTGGCTTCTCTCAGAGCAAGTGGTCCAAGAGAGCAGGGCGAGGCGGCAGGCTCTCATGACCGAGCCTTGCAGGTCGCGCTCGGTCACTCCCATCGCTTTGTGTTGGTTGCACAGATAGCCCTGCTCAGTGTGGGGAGGGGACAGCACCGGGAGGTGAGAATCCTTGGCTGGCTCCCACAGCCAGATATTCTCTTTCCTTGGGAGAAGCCAGAAATCTCGAATTTCATTTGAAAATTGTGCTTTTAAGATGTTGGCAGCTAGTTCAGTTTCTTTATAAACCTCCTGCGGACAGAACCAAACGTGCCTGTCGTCGCTTGTCTCGTTTTCTGGATTGAGCCTGTGAGCAGAGGCGAGGGGTGTGCGAGCAGAAGCCTGAAGGGGCCCCTGCTCGTCTGGAGAAGCGTGTTCGCTGACTTGGCTGAGCTGTCGGCTGTGGGAAGGCGTCCGTGCAAAGCCACCCATTTCTCCACGTCCTTGGGCCCTCGTGCTGTTGTGACCACTCGCTCCCCGGATCGGCAGCTGGTTACGGCGTCCTCCCTCGAGGATGCTGTTGGTCACGGGCTTCGTGAGGGGCTTTTGAGGTCTTCGGTGGAGGGCAGGGTTGCTAGCCTGGTGCCTCTCTCGTACCGGCTGGGGCAAGTTTTTGGTGCTGGAACACTCTGCAGTTTGGGAGGATCAGGGTGGTTAAAGGAGAAAACAGACTGTGGGAGAGAGGGGAGCTGCGGGGCCTGCTCCAGTGCCGTTTCCCCGGCCCGTCGGAGGCCCCTCTCCCAGAGGACCGCCGGGCCTGGCGCTGCCCTCCTTTTTTTTTTTTTAAAGATTGGCACCTGAGCTAACATCTGTAGCCAATCTTCTCTTCTTTTCCTTCTTCTCCCCAAAGCCCCCCAGTACATAGTCGTACATTCTAGTTGTGGGTCCCTCTGGTTGTGCTGTGTGGGACGCTGCCTCAACGTGGCTTGATGAGCGGTACTAGGTCTGTGCCCAGGATCCGAACCAATGAAACCCCTGGGCTGCAGAAGTGGAGCGCACGAACTCAACCCCTCGGCCCCGGGGCCGGCCCCGCCCTCCTTCTTGACTGAGAACATGGCATCTCTGCTTACTGATGCCGTCCTGTCCTCTACACGCCTGTCTCGACGTCAGTCATCCTGCGCTGTCAGGTGGCCAGCGTGGGTCACGCTCCTGCGCTGTGATGAACAGTGAGGATAGAGGCGCACACATTCGGCGCCTTCCCTCGGCCAAGCCCTGTTCCTCGTGGTCTGAGTGGTCTGGCTCGTTCAGTCCACGCAGTGACCCTGTGATAAGGACCGTGTCTTCTTTTGTGGAGAGAGACCGGGGCCCAGAGAAGACCACCTCCTTGTCTAGATTTCCCGGTCAGAGAGGCAGGCTCTGGCCGGCCAGGAGCTCGGAGCCTGTGCTCCCTCAGCACGTGCTCTGTGGATCCGCGCCACAGCGTCTTAAAGGAGTCGCTGTCGTTCCGTGTTTGACGGAAGACGGTGCTGAGGCTGAGAGGTGAGGCAGCTCGCCCGAGGGCACCGTCTGCAGCGTGGCGGAGCTGAGGTTCTGACGTGGGTCGTCCAGCCTGGCCCTGGAGGTCTCCACTGTCATGGGAGGATCCGGGGCCTTCTCCAGCCAGCAGTTTCCAGGTGACACACAAGGGAAACTGAGTCCCAGGGAGGCAAAGTGGCTTGCCTGAGGTCCTCAAGCACTATCTCTAGAGTCAGCGCTGGTCCCAGCTTTCCAGACGCAGTGTCCCTGGCTGTTTTCCCTGCATGCTTGACCTGGTCTCTGGCCCCCGGCTTGAGTAGATGGGGTGGGGCTGTGGGGCTTGGAGGAGGTGCCCGCTTCATTGCTGTGAAGCACGTTCCCTTTCTCGAGCCCGGACCCCTTAAGCCCCCGGGTGTCTCCTGATCAAGGCTGTGCGACCTTTGGGCCGACTCTCTCGCTTCTTCTGGTTGATCCTTCTGCATCCCTGCCCCAGACCCGCTCGCTCCAGCTCTCCTCTCCTGGGCTCTTGGCTTCCTCCCGCGTCCTAACCCTGCCCTTGCTGCAGGGGCCAGCCCCTCTGCCTGCGGCCCACCTTGCTGCCTGGCTCCCGGTGATCACTCTCCTCTTGTGGATGCGGGGTCCAGCATGCTGAGGACAACTATCGGACGCCCCAGCGAGAAGACACTGCTCCAGGGCAGAGATGGTGGTGTCTCTTCGTCTCCGTACCCCTCAGGGCTGGGAACAGCGAGCACAGGGAGAGAATCGAGCTCAGCCGTTGAATTGTGCCATGGTGTTCTTTGCCTGACACCCTGTTGGTCATCCTCCTGCTGTACTCATATCTCTGGAGTACCAGCCTATGAATGTATATCCTACTGACAATACATCGGGATTAAAAAGGTCCAAAGAGGGGCCAGGCCTTTCCCGAGCTCCCAGGATTTGAACCTGCTTGAAGAGCACGCTTTCGTTAGTGTGAAAGTGGGAGAGAGAGGGATATATCTACTCACACAGAAAAATCTCTGGAAAGACACAAATAAATCTCTTTACCTGGGTTACTTCTGGGCAAGAAAAGTTAGATGGTTGTGGGGGTAAGAGAGGGAGAGGTTTTACTGTATAACCTTGTACACTTCTGTGATTTTGAACCATGTGAATGTATTGCTTACTCAAAAATTGAAGTAAAGAATCCAGAAAACCCCTCACAACATTGTACTGGCATGGGAGGTCATCAACAAGCTTCTAGTTTTTTTTTTTTGAGGACGATTAGCTAACATCTGCTGCTAATCCTCCTCTTTTTGCTGAGGAAGACTGGCCCTGGGCTAACATCCATGCTCATCTTCCTCTACTTTATACATGGGACGCCTACCACAGCATGGCTTGCCAAGCGGTGCCGTGTCTGCACCTGGGATCCGAACCAATGAACCCTGGGCCACCGAGAAGTGGGACGTGCGCACTTAACCGCTGCGCCACCGGGCCGGCCCCAACAAGCTTCTAGTTTTGAACTTCTGGGTTTACAAATGTGTTGAATGTAGGTTCCCTGAGCTTATATGGTATAATAATAGCAAACTCTTACTGTGGTTCTGATTATGCCCGAGGCCCTGTTCTAAGCGTTTTATTCACGTGCCCGTTTAAATCCTCACAAGAGCCCCATGGAGGGGGTGTGGTCAGTCAGCTTCATTTTATAGCTGGGGAGACTGAGACACAGCACGCTTAAGTAGCTTGCCTGAGGTCACACAGCTAATAAATGGCCAAGCCAGGATTTGAACCGAGGCCATGTGGCTCCAGAGTCCGTGTTCTTCGGTGTGCCGGTGGAGATGTGGAGTCGCTGCCTCACTGCTCTTGTCGTTTTGGGGCCGAGCAGCGCTGTGTCTGCTTCAGTGGGAATTCAGATTCCCCGCCCCACTGCCAAGACCATTGCTCAGTGGATGCCTCTGAACCGCTCAGATCTGCCCATGCTTCCTTTGGTGTGTCCCTTTTATTACTGAACTGCCAAGACTTTCCTTCTAAGTTTTATCTGAGCTATGTGCCGTTTTATTTTATTTTTAGAAAATTACGATGACTTATACCATTGGTCGGTCGAGTCATATTCGGACTTCTGGGCAGAGTTCTGGAAATTCAGTGGAATTGTCTTCTCGCGCATGTATGACGAGGTAAGTAGAGATGCTTAGGCGTTGTCTTTTTGTGGTTCTGTTTCAAAAGGAATTCTTAATTTTGGGGAATACGGAATCATATCTTTTAAAACCTCACATCAGTGGGAAAAAGCCATTGCCCTAGAGAGTTGGCAGAAAATTGTGTTGGGGTCGTGAACCCCATGAAGACTCTGCAATCTCTGGGCCCTCTGATGGGTGTGGACCCTAGGCCCCGTGCGGGGACCTTGAGTGACCCTAGATAGTAGGGCACTGTTTTATATTTTTTAAATCACGGTAGGACACTCATAGCATGAAATTTACCATCTTAACCATTTTAAGGTGCGCACGTCAGCAATGTTACATATACTCACATTGCTATTTTTTAAACTATCAGTAGTTTCATTTTTTTTTTAACCTGGCATTTTAGAGATTTCTTTCAGCTCCTTATGCTATCAACCAGTCAATATCTGGGGAAAGAGAGTCCTGTTATTCAGAATGTAATTTACTGTGTTTTTGGCTTGATTATGGAGTGAACCATTCTGAAAGGTTCGTCTGTAGGCACTTGAAGAAGAAAACCAAGGTCCCCACCCTGAGGAAGGAGGTGAGGGGTCACACTCCTGGAAGGTTGTTGTGTGCGCTGGTGGGCCCTGTAGCTTGAGCTCCTGGTTTCTGCGTGTCCGGGCAGAGCCTGGCCAGTGGGCAGGCACCACATCTGTCTTATTCACTTTCTGTCGCCAGCATCTCTCATAAGTAGGTGCTTGATCAAGATTTGTTGAAAGAGTAAAAAGAGTAAACTAGCAGGGATGGTGTTTCCCTTTAGGATTGGTTTCTTTTTTTTAACTTTACTGTGGAATAATTGACAGATATGATTGTATATATTTCAAGTGTACAAGGTGGTGATTTGATGTATGTACACTGGGGAATTATCACATGCATCACGCACGTAGTTAACTCTTTTTCTCGTGGTGCACATGCTTAAGATCCACTTTCAGCAGCTTCCCAGTACCCAGTACCGTGTTGTTGACCACAGGGCGTTCGTTTCCATTTTTAGTTTCAAGCCTTTAGGCCAGTTCAGACTGAGTCTATGAAACGATTAAAGATGCTCTGAGCCGGTGAGTTAGCTGGCTTACTGGGAGCGGAGTCGCTGTCCTTCATTCACGACCTCGATCTCCTGTGTGTGTCCTGGTGTGCTGTCGTTCTCTGCAGGTGGTGGACACATCAAAAGGCATTGCGGATGTGCCCGAGTGGTTCAAGGGCAGCCGTCTGAACTATGCGGAGAACCTTCTGCGGCACAGAGAGAACGACAGAGTCGCCCTTTATGTTGCAAGTGAGTCCTGATGACTACTTGGGTTTTCCTCTCTCAGTATCCAGAGGCCACTTACACGCAGGCCACCGGCTTGGGGAGGCTCCGAAGCATTCAGAAACTGCACTCGGTGATTTTCAAACAATATCTTGGCATCTTTCTTTTTTAAATTGTGGTAAAAAACACATAACATTAAATTTACCATCTTAACCATTTTTAAGTGTGCAGGTCTGTAGTGTTAGGTATGTTCACATTGTTGTGCAACAGGTCTCGAGAACTTTCTCATCTCGCAACACTAAGCCCTGTGTCCACTAGATGCTAATTCCCCTTCTCCCCCAGCCCTTGGTAACCACCTTCTACCTTCTGTTTGTGTAACTGTGACCACTTCAGATGCTTCATATGCGTGGAATCACACAGTGTTTGTCTTCTTGTGACTGGCCTCTTCCACCCAGCATAATGTCCTCAGGGTTCATCCATGTTGTAGCAGGTGACAGGCTTTCCTTCTTTTTTAAGGCTGCATAATATTCCATCGCATGGAGAGACCACATTCTGTTGATCTGCTCATCCACCACTGGACACTGGGGTTGCTTCCACCTCTTGGCTGTTGTGAACGATGCTGTGATGAACGTGGTGTGCAGATATCTGTTCAATGTCCTGCTTTGAACTATTTTGGATAAATACCTGGAAGTGGGATCGCTGGATCCTCTGGTGGTTCTTTAAGTTTCTGAGGAAGCTCCACACAGTTCCATAACAGCTGCTCTTGCTGCCTTTCCAATGTCATGAAGGTGTCTGTTGACTTTGTGTTACCACTGGTGGGGGGAGGGGACAGTCGCGTGATCACGTTTTATGGAGAAATCGAGACAGATGTGGAGTAACTGGCCCGGAGTCCCTGGGAAAGCTCATGCTGGAATCACAGCTGGACTCCCCTCCCGTGGGCTTCTCCTTTTAAAAGAAAGTTTAAAGAATATTCCAGCTTACGTCCTCAGCAGGCTCCAGAGGAGCTGGTATAAAATAGTTTAAACGCACTAGGAGTTTTCTTAACAGGGAGATGCTGTGGCTGAGCCCCCTAATTAAATTAGGTTTTTGTAAAAAGTAACATTGGATTTATCCGGCATTGAGAGGTTTTGAGGTGTTGCACGTAGGTGAATTTTCCTGTTGCCGGTGCTGCTTCCTTGAGGGTAGAGCTGTGTGGGCCCCTGTGAGACACAGCAGGTTCCGTTATGCTGCGCGGAAGCGGGCTTGGGTGCCCGACTCAGGCTTCCAGCGTGTGGACGCTGCCGAGTCGGATGCTCTCGTGGGCTGTAGAGCTGTGTCGGATGGTTTGCCCCCTCCTTTAAAAAAGGACCCGGGTTGCTGTGCTCTCTGCCGTCCTGTGCCCAGTTTCTATAGTGTTCCCCTGCCCGGCTGCCTGCTCTCTCCTTGCAGTGCCAGTGTCCTCGGCTCCAGCAGCCCTGGTCTTCACCACAGTTGCTGTTTTTCGTAGAAGTGGTGTGGGACGTGAGATAATTGTGCTTGTCCACGTGGTGCCTGAACCAGGAGTAAATGAGGTCTGAGAGAGGATTTGAGAGTTTGAGTCCCTGTTCCACACTCAGTAGCTGTGTGACCTTGGGCAAGTTACTTAACCTCTCTGGGTCTGTTTCTGCCTCTGCAAACTGGAGAGGATGATAGTATCTATCTCAGGATTATTGTAGGGATTCAAGGAACAGATATCTATCTATCTGTCTTACAGCAGTCCTTGGCACAGAGCACATGTGCATAGTTCTCAGCCGAGGTTATACACCGAAATCCCTGTGCAGCTTTTAAAATCATGGCTGTCAGTTCCCGTGTGAGAGCTTGCCTCCTGGGGGTGGGACCCAGGCTTGTGTGTGTTTTTAAAGCCCACAGTTGCTTCTGACGTGCGTGCTGGGGAGGATGGCAGAGCCTCGTCCTTGTGTCGTGTTTGCCTGTTGAGTATTGTTTTGCTGTCTTCCTCGGCTCTCAGCCCTGACCTGGTTTAGGCTGAGTGGACCAGTGGCCTCGGGAGGTGACGCCAGTACCGCGTTCTCCCTGCTCCTTTTGGAGGCGTTTCCACACCCCTCCATCGATCCCTTGTTCCTCAGGTCTGTGTCCACGGCCTCCTGTGGCATGAGGTGCTGGGAGCACAGCCTTGATCAGGACGGACGAGGGCCCTGCTCTCTTGGGGCTGACCTAGTGGGGGAAACAATAAATAGGAAAACACATGCTATAAAGTTCCAGATGGCTCCAAGCGCTCAGAAGAACAGCTGAAGCACCGTAATGGGAGGGAGAGGACCGGGCGGGCTGTGAGCTCGTCTAGACGGGCTGCTGGGGAGGCCCGTTGGAGGAGGCAAGATGTAGGCAGAACTTGAGTAAGAGGAGGTAGTCCTGCAGAGGTGGGGGAGGCCATTCCAGGCGGAGGGAGCAGCCAGACGGAGCGCCCTGAGCCGAGCGAGCCTGGCTATGTGGGGACAGTGAGGCCCCATGGCTAGGAGAAGGGCAGGAGGCCAGGCTGGAGGGGCCGGGCCATGTGCGGCCTCGAGTGCTGTGCCGGGAGTTTGGGACTGTGTGCGAGGCAGTGGCTGTCCTCAGAGGATGTTAATGGAGGGAGCCGTGTCATCCCGCGGCCGCCCTGGCTGCTGCGTGGAGAATGGGAAGACAGCGCATCCTGGGAAAGCAGAGCGTCGAACTTAGGAGGTCGCTTGGCTCCATCTCTGGGTCCCCAAAGACCGTTTCTCTGGCCCGTGGCAGGGATGGCTCCGACATGAGGTTCTGGGGCTCGTGGGGGTGTCCTCAGGCTGCACCGCACTTCAAGCACTGCCATTAGAGTGAGTCCTGGCCTTATGCAAAGAGGTGACTGAGCACGTTGCTCCAGGGTTTCTTTAAATTCTGTCAGTGTAGCAGGACGGGGCTTACGCCAGTGTCCCAGTGATGTGTCGTGGACAGTGAGGCACACCCCAGGGGGACGCTGGTCACGGGCGGGACCGTGTGGAGACGGGCAGGAAGTCTCTGGAGGGGAGAACCAACGGGGTGAGGAGACCTCCCTTTCTTTGATTGGGATACAATTCATGAACGTAAAATCCACCCTTTTAAAGAGTGCAATTTGGTCATTTTTAGCATATTCACAAGGTTGTGCAACCACCATTTCTATCTAGTTCCAGAACATCTGTCACCCCAAAAGGAAACCCCATACCCGGCAGCAGTCACTCCCCATCCCCGCCCCAGCCTCTGCCCACCCCGGTCTGCTTTCCGTCTCTGTGGATTTGCCTGCTCTGGACACTTCTTATCAGTGGATCCTACACTCTGTGGCCTTTGTGTCTGTGCTGTTGTCAAGGCGCATCCACAGTGTAGCAGGTGCCATGCTCCCTTCCTTTCTATGGCTGAGTGGTCCTCCGCTGCGTGGATAGCCCGCGTTTTGTTTATCCGTAACAGACTCTTAAAGGGCTGTCCTGCCCCAGGCACTGTGACGCCTTTGGAAACCTCTCTGGACCCCAGCCAGCTTGGCATCTCTGTTCCCTGAGGAGCTCGCGTGCTGGTCTGCTGTTTGTCTCGTTTCCTGGCCCCTTTGAAGGTGTGTGCTTGTGCGTGGTGTCGTAGGCACTGCAGGAGAGGTCCCGGTTTCTCCTGCTGGAAAGTGGGAACGGTCAACTGAGTTGTCTTTAAAAAGCAAAAGAAAACAAACGGAAAAACCAGTAATATTCCTGATTGCTAGTGGTAAAACCACTGGTAAAATTGGCCATGGACACCCTGTGAGCAGCAGCGGAGCACTGTCTGGTGCGGCGCTGGAAGGGGAGGGGATGGCGCAGAACGACCGGGCAGGGCTCTGCTCTGCTGCGCACGGGGTCACCAGGAGTCGCAGTCGACTCTCGGGCACTGACAGCAACGGTGGCAAACAGCCGGTCCTGCGGGTGGCCGGGCTGGCACTGAACTGGCCCTGCGGCCTCTCCCTCGCTCGTAGACGTGCACTGGCTGGACGCAGCCCCGTTTTCCCTTCGCCCAGCGCTGTCTCGGGCATGGGGTGGGGGGTGTGGCTGTAATGCCGGGTCTGCTGTGTCCGTTTCGTCTTCTCCCTCCTCGTCCCCTCTCCTCCCCGCCCCCGCCACGCCCTCCCTCTCAAATGTTGGAGCCCTTCTTTCAGTGAGCTCCCCCGTCCTCGTATTTGCAGTGGGAATAGTGCCCTCAAACCAGGGACCACATCTAGTTTACAGATTGAATATCTGTCTTCAGCAGGGGCCTCGATTGACTGATTATTGGCTTAGGGACTTTAAAATAATTGTTTTGTCTTCTGTGTGTTTTTCCGATTTGTCCCTTCCTCGCCAGCCGCGTGTGGGGCTCCTGGAGCTCTGCTCTGTGCTCACTCAGGATTTTCAGCAGCTCATCATCCTACCCAGGATCCCGGGTGAGGTCACGTGGTGCCCGCCAAGGTGTGCCCGGTTGCCTCCACGCTCCCGTGAGTGGGGCAAACCCAGTAGGCGTTAGCGCCCTTGGTGTTTAAGTTGTTCGCACACCCGCCTGTGTAGCACATTTTGTCTTTGAACAGTGGGTTTCAGGTTACTGGGTATTTTTATAGGTTAGAAAATTCGCTGGGTGAGAACATGGGAGAGGTCATTAAAAGGCTACCTACCCAGCGGGGTGAGAGAAGAACCGTGGGCAGCACGTACACCTTTAAGCAAGTCGGAAAAGCCAGCTGTACACCAGAGGGAAGTCAGGATGTTTATTCCCTTTGGAAAAGAGATACTTCCTGTTGTGAAATTGAAAAGCAGTTAGCAATCAGGAATGAAATATCTGCGTCACAGGTCATGGTCAGAGGATTGATACCTCTCCTCTGGCAAGTGCGTTCAAATACTTTTTCCCCACCTTTGTACCGTGGGGTCTTAGTTCTCTGTCACCGTGTAACCAGCTACAGAGCCGGGGCTTGCAGCCATGAACACTCACCGTCTCACCGTTTCTGTGGGTCACACACACGGAAGCCACTTAGCTGGGCAGCTGTGGCTTGGGCGTCTCTCATGAAGCTGCAGAGAGGATGCTGGTGGAAGCTAAAGTCATCTGAAGGCTTGACTGGGTCTGGCGGGTCCACGTCTAAGATGGTGCACTCCTGTGGCTGTTGGCAGGAGGCCCCAGGGTTTCACCAAGTGGGCTTTTTCATGGGCGCTTGAGTGTCCTCACATGTGGCCTCTGGTTCCCCCAGTGAGCCAGGTGGAAGCTGCAGTGTCTTTTGTGACCAAGGGTCGGAAGTCCCTGTCATTTCCACAGTATCCTGTTGCTTCCCTGGTCAGGCCCCTTCACTGTGGGGGGATCCACACGAGAACGTGAATGCCAGGGGCAGGGGTCATGGGGGCATCACGGAGGCTGGCGACCACACCGTCTTTTCCATCTTACCAATCTGTTAGGTGAAAATTAGTTTTAACGTGCATTTCTTCCATAGCTAGTGAGGTTGATCATTTTCTTTTCTTACTCGTATGTGTTTTTTTGCAATGTCAAAGTTTTCTCTGGTGAGCTTGCATTATTACCTTTATAATCTGAAAAAAAAAAATGTTAGAAAACCAAACCAAGGGCGGAACAGCGCTCAGCAATGCAAGGATGAGGTACTCGATGGTGCCCCCGCCTGGATGAAGCTACGGGCGCTGCACTGAGGGAAAAAGCCAGTCTCAGAGGGCCACCTGCTGCAGAATTCCATTTCTGTGACATCCCTGAAGTGAGGTTATGGAGGTGGAGAATGTGTTAGTGGTGCGGGGGTTGGGTGACGGCTGGGGAGTGACTAGAAAGAGTAGCAGGAGGGAGATCGTCGTGGTGGAGATGTCCTGGCTCCTGATTGTGGTGGTGACAGGAAATGCTGTGAAATGAGGGAGAACCACACACACACATTGTATTGAGGCCAGTTCCCTGGCTTTAACGTTGTACCCGAGGGGCCGGCCCGGTGGCGCAGCGGTTAAGTGCGCACGTTCTGCTTCAGTGGCCTGTAGTTCGCTGGTTCGGATCCCGAGTGCGGACATGGCACCGCTTGTCAAGCCATGCTGTGGTAGGCGTCCCACATATAAAGTAGAAGAAGATGGGCACGGATGTTAGCTCAGGGCCAGTCTTCCTCGGCAAAAAGAGGAGGATTGGCAGCAGATGTTTGCTCAGGGCTGATCTTCCTGGAAAAAACAAAAAACATTGTACCTGAGTTAGGCAAGATGGAGCCACTGAGGGGGTGGAAACTGGGCTGAGGGTACTTGGGACCTCTCTGTACCATCTTTGCGACTTCCTGGGAATCTATAATTATTTCAAAATGAAGTTAAGAAAACACCGCAACCCAAATCAAAGGATTCTTCACTTAATAAAAGCATTCCCAGAGTGGAACAGCCTGTGGATGGCGTTTGCGAGCTCCCTCTCGCACCCTCCTCTTCTGTAAGGCTGTCAGCCTGCGGCCTGGTTTGCGCCCCGCATCTGTCTGCCATTCTGGGCGCGTTTCTAACCCGCCTTTCACAGGTGTGAGTTTTCATCCGCGTCCGAGACTCGGAACCCTTCTTCTCAGGATGAACCACGTGCGATGTGTCCTTTTCCTCTTCCAGGGGAGGGCAGAGAGGACATCGTGAAGGTGACTTTCCAAGAGCTGCAGCAGCAGGTGGCCTTGTACGCGGCAGCCATGCGGAAAATGGGGGTGAGGAAAGGAGACCGGGTCGTCGGTGAGTACTCCTGCTCGCGGTTTGGGGAGGGGGCTTGGAAGGTGGGGCGACTTCTGAGTAAGTGGAGCCGTGTCCTGTAACTTAGGGCCTCGGGGGACCTTGGCTGCGCACGGGGCCGAAAACTAGACAAGGAGGCGCAGCCGGGGAGAGCGCGTGCGCCCCCCTCCCGGCTCAGGGCCTCGCGGGCGAGCTCTTCCTCCTGCCCGGGGCACCGGTGTTTACAGACGGGCATTGTTTATGACGCTTGATCCTTAAACACTAGCGGGGGCGTTGGTCAGATGCTTCAGGAAAGCGCTGCCCCATCTGAGCCGGGAGAGCTGCCTGCTGCACTTTCTGGACGTGGTCCCTCCGCCCCCAGCGGTCGCCCTCCCGGGAGTTTCTCAGGGCAGCGATTTTCGTCGTTGGTGCTGACACGGGTGTAGACGGACTCCAAAACCCCTGCAGAGGGAGTTTTGTTAATGGAGAGGCTCCTGGCTGATTTCCTCTTGTCACAGACCCCGGGGTTAGAGCCGAGAAGAGCATTGAAGGCCACCCGGCCCTCCCCTCAAGTTTCCTGAGTGAGAAACTGAGGCCCCAAGGGTAAAAGAAAACCAACCAATTAACTTTTTTTTATTAGAAAAGGGTTTCATTTAAAATGGGTGTTGAGTTAAACAATACGGACAATTTCAATACGTAAAGTTGTTAAGTGAAAATTCACATGTGGAATTAGCCTTTGAAAATCCTAAGTGGAAAGTGTTACTTTATAGCAAGGCATGAAATTTCATAGCCAGAACACTTGGTCACAAATTTGTTAAACAAATGGACTGTAATTATTCGGTTCCATGACATAGCATAGCTGATGGTATTTTGCAAGCCACTGCCGCTGAGCCTGGGCTTCCTGGCACGTGGCTGGTGGCTTCTCTTCCACGTTGCCTCTCAGCTCACCACCCAGGCTTTCTCATGGCCAGGTCGCTCCCACTGGGTCCTTCCTGGTGTGAATTTGTTTATGGTGTCTGAGGGCACAGGCTCCCTGGGGTCAGGAGACCTCATTTCAGTGTCTGGCGCTGCCACTGACTGGGTGTGTGGGTTCCGACAAGGAATTTCACCTCCCGGGACCTCGAGTTTCTTCATCTGTAAATGGAGTGGCTGATGGGGCTGGCCTGGTTGCATATGGTTAAGTTCACCGCTCTGCTTCGGCTGACTGGCATTTGCCGGTTCAGATCCTGGGCACCAGCCAGCTCACCACTTGTCAAGCCATGCTGTGGCAGGCGTCCCACATAGAAAATAGAGGAAGGTGGGCACAGATGTTAGCTCAGGGCCAGTCTTCCTCAGCAAAAATAAATAAATAAATAAAAAATAAAAATGAGGCAGCTGAGAGAGCTGGCCTGGCTGGCTAGTCTATCTTCTGAACACTAGTATTTTAGTCATCACTCCTCATCCTTCCCTCTCCCAGCCCCCAGGCCCACTATAGATTTGTCTGCTCTGGACCTTTCCTGTAAATGGAATCTTGCAATGTGTGGCCTTTTGTGGCGGCTTCTTTCACGATGTTTAAATGTGTTCAGTTGTTGTGTGTCAGTGTTCCCTCCTTTTTACGGCCTGTGACGCTCCATTGCGTGGATGGACCGCGTTTGTCCGTCCGTTTGTCAGCTGGTGGCCCCTGGGTCAAGCTGCATTTGGACGTGCTGAGCTGTGCTGCTGCTGAGGGCTGGGGGCAGCTGCGAGGTCTGGCTGGGATGGTGGGAGCAGTGGTTGGCGTGTGTCTGTGAGGCCTTGTCCCTCCCGGCCACGGGGGTCCCAGGGCTGCCTCAGGCCGTGGGCTTGTGCAGAGAGGGCCGGCTGAGCAGCCCTTCACACCTGCAACGCAGGGCAAGCCCCAGGATGCAAGTCCGTGGAGGGACACCAGATCCCGGGGGAGGGTTCCGGGCTCAGGCTGGGACACTAGACAACTGACTGGTGTCCCTGCTTCCTGCCCGACCCCAGCTGGGAGCCACAGGGGTCCTCAGGGCTCCTGCTGAGAACCCGCTGCCTGAGCCCACCCAGAGCCTGTGCGCTGATGCTCCCCTCGCAGGCTTGCCCCTCCTCCCCCCGGTGCCCCCTCCTCCTCGCCCACCCCCCGCTCCCATCCTCCTCCCTGGTTTCTCCATAATCTGTTTGATCACCTCACTAGTTTTGTTTTCTCATTTTTTAAAAAATTATTTTACTGAAGTCACATTGGCGTATACCATTGTGTAAGTTTCAGGTGTACATTGCTGTGTCTCAGCTTCTGTGTAGGCCGCATCATGCTCTCCACCTAGTCTAGTTTCTATCCTCACTATACATGTGCCCTTTACCCCTTTTGCCCACCCCTGCCCCCTTTCCCTCTGGTAACCACCTATCTGTTCCCCTTATCTGTGTGTTTGTTTGTCTTCCACATATGAGTAGGATCGTATGGTATTTAACTTTCTGCATCTGACTCATTTCGCCCAGCATAATAGTCTCAAGGTCCATCCATGTTGTTGCAAATGGCACAGTTTTGTCTTTTTTCATGGCTGAGTAGTCTTCCGTTGTGTGTATACACCACATCTTCTGTATCCATTTGTCCATTCGTGGGCACTTGGGTTGCTTCCCAGTCTTGGCTCTTGTGAATAATGCTGCAGTGGACATAGGGGCGCGTAGATCTTTATGCACTCATGTTTTCATGTTCTAACCCAGCAGTGGGTTAGCCGGATCGTGTGGTAGTTCTACTCTTAGTTTTTTGAGCAGTCTCCATGTTTTCCATAGCGGCTGCACCAGTTTGCACCCCCAGCAGTGTCTGCAGGCCCCCTCTCTCCACTTCCTCTGTCCTCCGTTCTCTGGCTGCTGTGATGTAAGCTCTGTGTGAGCGTCTGTCTGTCCTCTCGTACTGGAGGGCCGGGCTCGGCCTTCTGTCCATTGCTGCCTCCCTGTCTGCAGAGCGCCTGGCACACGGCAGGCGTATCGGGCAGCTGTGGGACGAGTGGCGGCCAGTGCGGGGCCGGTGATCAGAGCAGGCATTGCTGTAGTGGAAACCCCACTTTCCCTGGATTCCTCTTGGCCCATTTTAATCTGTGCCCGTTTCAGGTCTTAGAAAAGGAATTCAGAAGCTTCTTCTACCCTCCAGTTTTCTTCTTCCCTCCAGTTTCCCTTTTTTACAAACTCCTTTGGAAGCATGTGTCCTGAGAGGAGGAGAGAGGGAGGCCGGGCGGGCGGGACCTCGCGGCTGGGCTGTCCCTGGGGAACATTGGGCTTCGGTGCCCTCGACTCTTTAGAATCAGCCGGGTGACCCCTGAGCCGCCCTCCTCGTGTGTCTCGGCTTGGACACTGGTTTGACCACAGTGACTGGGACTGTGTGTCACCTCTGTTGTCGTCAAAGCCCAGCCTCCTGCTGGACGGAGGGCCTGTGCCCTGCCCTCTTCCTCACAGGCTTCTGTCAGGCTCAAGACTGTCCTGCTCATCGTCTTCGTTTCCCCATATCCCCACCAACTCTCCTTCCTTCCCTCCATCTAAACTTCCATCCTTCCGTCCTTCCATCCAAACATCCATCTGTCCATCTATCCATTCATCCATTCATCTGCCAGCCAGCCAGCAGGCCTGTATCTGAGGGCAGCGATATGCAGGGCATGGTGAAAGGCGTTTGGTAAATCAAAAACAAGACAGGCGGAATCCCTGCCCTCACGTGAGAACCAGGTAGTAAATAGCTCATTACACAGGTGATGCTTCACTTGCATTTATGGCAAGTTCTGTGAGGGAGAAAGTTTGCTACTTTGTGGGGAACTGGCCAGGGGCCCTGGGTTCATTGGGTGGCCGTGGAGAAGGCTTCTCTGAGAAAGTTTCACTTGTGTTAAGAGCTGAAGGATGAGTCTGCACTGAATAGGGAAGGCTGGTGTGTGGAAAAAGTGTTCAGGGAGAGCAGATTGTGCAAAAGGCCCTGGGGCAGGAGGAGGTTAGAACAACTGAAGAACTGAAAGAAAGCTGCTGTGGCCGAGCCCAGAGGGAGGCGGAGCAGAGGGAGAAGCGGTTGGGGCAGCATCATGCAGGACTGCAGGGGTCGCTGGTTAGAGCGCGGAGAATGGGTTGGAGGGGGTGACGGTGGCCATAGGAAGTGGACAGGCTGATGGTAGGCACAGGTCATCCGAATGAGAGACGTTGAGGGAGCTGGGGTGGGTGGGGAGGGAAAGGGTGAGGTTGGCCGCCCTTCTTGGGCAGTTCAAAGCCAGCCCCCTCTCCCCCGATGCCTGGCCTGGCTCTCGGCTGTCTCTTTTGGGAGTCCACTGCATCCAGGGTGCTCTGAACCCAAGGCTTTGCCCCTGTGCCCCTTCCACAGGTTACTTACCCAACAGCGCGCACGCTGTGGAGGCCATGCTGGCTGCAGCGAGCATCGGCGCCATCTGGAGCTCCACGTCCCCGGACTTCGGTGTGAACGTGAGTTGGGGTCCTTGCTGGGGGAGCGCCGCTGCCTGAGAGTGCCCTGTGTGTGCAGCCGCACAGGGGGCGTCCTGTGTGGTTTCAGCAGGGAGGGCACTGCCGCCTGGCGTCTTGTGGGGAGGGGTGTGGGGGGTGGGATTCCCAGTGGGGCTGTGCGGCCGGGCCAGCAAGCCTGGAGGAAGTGATGTCACGCTGTCCCCGTCCCCCGGCCTGTGACGTGAGGATAACGGGAGGAGGAGCCAGAGGGAGCCGAATCTTTTTAAATCTCAAAGCACACGAGCCTCCCTCCTTCCTGGTCTTCCTCCTGCCCGGCCGTGTGCGTGGGCTACATGAGCGTGTGTCATGGTGGCAGGCAGTGTCGGAGAGACTGGCTGGTCACCTGTCCTGTGACTTCGTGACACAGGAGGTCCTCTCGACGTTTATCCTCAGCAGGCAGTTCTCGGATTTGCTCACACCCGGCCCCGCAGCCTTGCGCCCGCCCTGCTGCTTCTCATCTCTCACTTGGAATCTGTGCTTTGCCCTCGATGCAGGAGGGGACGGGGCTCTTTCTCCCTGTGGGCCCGAGGGGACCAGGGGCCAGGGTGCACCCATTTTGGTCACATGGTCACTCTTGTCAAAAGGGCACCCGTCTGAAATCTGCGATGAAGCAGAATGTCTTTCCTACTTTGAATCATGTTTCCTGTTGCAAATCCCTGAAAATTCCTATTATAAAGGGGAAACTGCCCTTCTCCTGCGAATCCTGCTTTTAATTGTGTGGTTTCATTACAATGGGGCCGTGTCGTTACGGACTCTGAAGTAAGTTCTAGTGCCGTGGCACACGCGTGTGGGGTTGTTACTGTGGCACACGCGTGTGGGATTGTTACTGTGGCGCATGCATGTGGGGTTACTGCCATGCAGTTTACAGGTGTCGGGGACTCACCCGCCCACAGGTGCCCCGTGCCCTCCTCGCCTGGCCGGGCTGGTGGCACAGGCCCCTCTCTGCTGTGCTGTGTGCTGTCTGTGGCCGGCTGTTCAAGGAGGCGGGGGGACACCGTCTGTCCCCGAGGATGCCGGGGATGCATTTCTCCCCACGGTCACGGCCCCTTTGCCTGCGTGCTCCCTGCCCTGCCTCTCTGCTCACGGTGTGCCCCCGCTCCACTCCTCCCGCCCTCAGCTTGGGTCCCAGTGCCTTTGGGCTCGGAGTGGGGGGCATCGCCAGGTGAGAGGAGTGCCTGGCTCTAGGGGTCCCCACCCCACCAGCCTCACCCAGACCTCAGGTCCTGTGCCATTTGCCATTTTCACTTTGTATCACTGTGGACCTTTGAGTGGTGGCTTTTTCAGAGATGCTGTGGGGTCCAGCCTCTGGTCTCCACACGTCTGGGAGCCCGGCCCGCAGCCTGTGGTCCTCACCTCACAAAGCGTTTCAGGTCCCTGTGCGTGGGTGTGTGTGGGCGTGTGCATAACTAGGACAGCCGTCCCTCCTGCCTGGTAGCTGTCCACATGACTCGGCCCCGGCCATGGCTTCAGTGCTTGATTGGTTGCTAGGTGCCGTATCCAGGGCAGACGCACGGTTGCAGGTGTGTTTGTTTTGTTGCAACGTGAAAGCACTTCTCGGCAGAGCAGCTGTCTCCAGGACCAGAAAGGCCCAGATGCCCAGAGGTCTTGACCAGCCTGGAAACTTAACCGTGTCACGGGACCTTTGAGTCTTTCCACGGTGCCAGGGCCAGACCTCTGATTCTGAAACGCTTGTCATCTTTGCTCTCACCGTGACTGAGGGTCACCTTTGTGACATCTGAGCCCCGGGTCACCGGCAGGCTGGGTCCTTTCACCTTGAATTTGTTGCACCTTGCGTGTGGGATAGTCTGCCCGGAGAATGCTGGGTTTCACGTGGAAGTCTCCGCTGCCTTCCTGGGCTCCCTGAATCTGGCTCCGTGCCGCTCCCCCTGGCCTCAGGCTGCCATGCAGCCCTTCCCCTTCCCAGGCCAGCTCTCCCTGCCCTGGCTTTGCTCTGGTGCCATCTCCTGGGGGCCTCTCCGCTCCGCCCCGCTGCGGAACCTCCTCCCTGTGATGCCCTGAGGAGAGGTGCTCTGCAGGCGCGTGCTGGGCTGGTTGCACCCGCCTCTCTCCGCCCCGATCGTCCACCGGGGTGCTTGGCACCTGGTCCTCTTCTGCAGCCCTGTGGTTCCCCGTTCTGTGGGGTGGTCTCGTCTTAGTCGGGGCAGTGCTGTGGTTGGGAGCACCAGCCTGCAGCTCCCGCTCTGCCACTGGCTGGCTGCGAAGCCCTGGGCAGTCACTGAGCCTGGCCGAGCCTCATCCAGGAGGTGGAGCTGGTCATGGTGCCCTCTCCCAGGGCTGGTCGTGAGCGTGAGTGCCTGCTGTTGCAGCCAGAAAGGTGCCTGGCACTTAATAAGCACTCGGGACATGTTGGGGCTTTTTTTGGCAAAAATTTTCTTCCCAGCTAAACCAAGGCCTCTCAGGCTGTCTCAGAACCCTGGGGTTTAAGAACGCTATTTATTTTGTGTATTGAGTTTCTCCATGGCCACCCTGCCTAATGTGGGTTAGCCTGATGGTTTTTCTGGTGATTCTCATGGATTTTCTGCTGGCCGTTCCCACTGTCTGCGCGGGCAGGCGGTTGCTTCCTTCCAGCCTCGCATTTCCCACGCTGTGGACAGGGCCGGGAGCTGGCGTCCTGTCTTTCCAGGGCGTTCTGGTCTTTTACCATCGTTTCTGCTACATGCTTTTTGTCAGTGAGAAAGTTTCCAGCTTATTACAGCTTTTTGCGAGGAAAGGATGTTGCGTTTTATTGAGAGCTTTCAGGTAGTCCTGTGATTTGTTCCCCTACCCTGTTGGGGTGGTAAGTTACACTGGTCTGCGATCCCGCGTCCTGTTGTGTGTCCCCGTCTTGCCCCGTCTCTGTGGCGGTTCGCGCTAGAGGAGCGTTCTGGTCTGCGGACGTCGGCGGCCCTTGCCTGCAGCTCGGGTCACCCTGGTGCCGCTGTGAGGAGGTGGGCCTTCCACCGTTTCTTCTCCCCGGTTCCTTCTAGCCGTTCCACTACTTCTTGGATCAGTTTTGATAATTTATGTTTTCTTGGGAAATCATCCACTCCATCTGGATTTCAAAGTTTGTTAACAAAATTGAACGTGGTGTTTTCTCGTTCCTTGATCTGTTTCTGCAGTAGGGAGATCTCTGATTTCATGGGGCTGTTTGCCTCGGTGTCTTGGTCTGCAGTACAGGGCCAGTCGCACTGCTCTGTCGCAGCTACTCTGAGCATCACGGGAGTGAACGTTGAGCATGCTTGGGGCCGTGCCTGAGACAGAATAAGCGCTCTGTATGTGTTAGCCAGAAATAGTGTCTTTTTCTTGATCAGATTTATCAAGAGGTTTAGTTTATTGATTTTTTGGAAAAAAGATTTTGGTTTTATTGATCAAGTCCACCATTAATTTTTCCTTATGCCTTTGGTTCCTTCCTTCCTTCTTTTCTTTTCCTGGGCTCTTTGATTGCCAACAGTAACATTTATCGTTGTTTCCCTGTTTTTCCCTGATAGACGGGGCTCCAGGCAGAGAGAGCGCTGACTGGCTGGTCCCAGGACGGTATTGGCACGCGGTCGATGGGAGAAGCAAAGGCTTTCTCCTCCCGACGGCTCTCTGCTGATTCAGCCCCTGGTCTCACAGACTGGATGGTGTGGAAAATAGGTTCTCAGTCCTTGACCCTTTAGCCAGGAGAGTCTCGGATTTCACTGTGTGTGAGAATCACCCGGAGGGCTTGTGAAAATACAGATTTCCGGGCACCCCCAGAGTTTCTGATTCAGTAGGTCTGGGGCCCCAGGTGGTGCTGTCGCTGCTGGGACCCCTCTGAGGGGCTCCCCCGTCTTAGATGCATGCTCTGCTCCCTCCTCCCTGGGGAGCTCTGAAAACCATGGCTGGCCCACTCTAGACCAGTTACTGAGTTACCCAAAGAGCTGAATTAATAGTCTCACCGCAGGTGGCTCTGATGCACAGCAGAGTCGAGACCCCTGGCTTCACTGCTGTGCCCTTGGAGTAGACCTGAGGGCGACCTTGAACCGCTGCCCTGGGCTGACGGGCGAGGGGACCAAAGAGCCATCCTGGGCGATGCCTTCCCAGCTGCGTTTTTATGAACGCGGGAGGCTGGGAGGGGAACCGAGAGAACCTGTCTGAGAGTGCTGTCCCCTGTCCCCCGCGGGGTCACACTCAGGTGGTGTCGAGTGTGTCGTGAGCTACACGTGTCAGATCACATCAGGTCAGGAATGAGCTCAGCAGCCACGGGGAGGCCCGTCTGCTTCAGGGCCAGGGGCAGGCTTGGTGGGACGGCCGGTTCCAGGTGTGGCGTAAACGGGCCCCTGGGTGTGTGAGCCTGCTTTTTGAAATGGGGCTTGTTTGCTAGTGCACACGTCTGTAGGTTCATGCGTTAGGTTGGCAGGACCAACCCCTTGGAGCATCAAGAGAACCAAAGCGGGGAGCCGCTCCTCGGGGCTGTGGTTGCCTCCTTGGCGGGTGACACTCCTTCACACATGCTGGAGGAGCCTTTCTGTGAAGCGGGGAGTCTTTTTGGTGCAAATACCTTCCTCTGTAATTTTCCCATCTTATGAACTGGGTTTTGCTATTTCCGTGTACTCTGTGAGTCCTTTTGGTATTTCTTTATTTGACGCTCTCCTTGAAGTGATGACCGTTTCTCGGGTGCATGTCGCGTTTGCTTGGCTTTCTGTCTTGTCCACGAGTGACGGGGACACGGGAATGTGGCTAGTGCGCCGATGGTGCTGCTTTTCCTTCCCTTGAGATGCGGCAGTCCGGGCTGCTGAGGGGTTTGCCTTAGGATGGCCGGTGATGACTCGCCCCTCCCACTCCAGGGCGTGCTGGACCGCTTTTCTCAAATTCAGCCGAAGCTCATCTTCTCCGTGGAGGCCGTCGTGTACAATGGCAAGGAGCACGGCCACATGGACAAACTGCAGCAGGTCGTTAAAGGTGTGTGGCTCCTCGGGGTCCCAGCTGGCTGGCGGGGGCGGGGGCAGCGACTGGAGCCCCCGCAGGAGTCACACCTGAACCCCGGCTAGTCCCTTCCCTACATTCTGTTACATTTTGTTAAAAAAAATAATCAGCAATTACGTACCTGTGTCCTGTAAGCTTGTGTGTTCTCCTCCCGTCCCTTCAGGACTACCAGACTTGAAGAAAGTGGTGGTCATTCCTTACTTCACTTCCAGAGAGAAGATTGACATCTCAAAGATTCCAAATAGGTAAGCAGGTCGCGTGCTGGAGCTTTGGGGTGGGGGGGTCCCACTGCGCAGTCGATGCTATGCCTCCTGCCACTCGGAGCTGTCGCGTTTTAGAGGTGCAGGAGGTTTTAGTTATGGTCATCGTCTTGTGGGTGGGCACCTGAGGGCCCCAGAGGGAACCCCTGAGGCCACCCAGCGTGTTAGTGCAGAACAGAGGCGGTCCCAGGTGTCCTCACGCTGCCTGCGTGGCATCCCTTCGATGTGGTGGGGCCTGGCTCCCCAGATCGGCTACAGCAGTTCTAAATGGTAATTACTGTGTGCACACATGCATGCGTGTATTTGCACACATGTGTGTACACATATAGGTGTATGCACATGTATACACACATATACACATACATGCATGTGTGTACATTTTCCTTTTAGAATCTACTTTTTGTCCCCCTGGCTAATAGTATTTTCCTTTGCTTTTCTGACATTTACAAGCTGATGCATCACATGCTTTGAGTGCCAAATAGAATTGTGAGCATCTTAATGTTGAATAGAAATTAAGGAAATGGAGTATGGTTTGGTCAAAGCTGGATTTTTCCCAGAGATCTGGGGTCACACCCTTTCCCTCTTTCTTGAAGCAGTCATGGGAAGAGTTCCCAGATCAGGTGTGTTTTCCTTTGCATGTAAACTTTTCCCTTTAGCCTCATGTCTGGGCCGTGGGCAGGGGCCTCGTGAGCGGGTGGCCCCTCCAGTCCAGGGGGAAGTGGTTGACAGACGCAGCGGGGGTCCTGCGTCTGCTGTGGGGAGGAGAGGTGGAGATCGCAGAGGCCTTTTTGGCCAGGCAGGCGGCTGGTGCCTGGCTTAGTGGTTTCCCGCGGGTGCTCTCTGGGGGCGCTGAGGGTACGTGCTGTCCTCGAGGGGTTGCAGTCGAATGGGAGGTACGAGATACACCTGCAAGGAGGATGGGCCATGGCCAGGCCCAGCAGACACAGCTGTGCTTGCTGAGAGGGGGACAGAAGTGCCCAGGGGTTCAGAGAAGAGCGTGGTTGCTTCTCTGTGGGGTCTGGAGGAGGTGGCACCCTAGGTGACCTTGAGAGATGAGCAGGGTTTGGGAACAGCTGCGTGTGCCAGGATTCTAGAAGCCACAGGGTACTGCCAGCAAAGTGACTGACTGTCCCTGAGGGCCGTGGTCTCGAGCCAGACTGCTCAGGGTCAGGTCTCAGCTGTGTGTCCCTGTGCAAGTGGTTATCCTTTCTGTGCCTTGGTTTCTCCATCTGAAAATATGGATTATAACCAGCTGGCTGTGAGGATTAAATAACGAATGCTTAGCCAAGTGCACGTAGTTAATTCTCAGTGATATTGTCTGTCATTATGAGTAGGTGACAGCTACAGGCTGGAGAGGGCTCTGTCCCCTGCAGCGTTGAGGTCAGGATGTGCAGGTCCTTACAGGCGGGCCCAGGGGCTGGGACTGGTGCCCTAGACTGTGGAACCCTTTGGGAAATTACAGCCAGATGACAGTGCCCTGGTCTTAGTTCATGCAGCCGCGAATGCAGCTCCCAGGGTTTTATTGATGGGGGCATGATGCACAGAGGCCAGGAGGAAAACCAGCCGGTTTGCTGGCCCCACAGTGGGCGGCTTTTATTTTTCTGAGTGTCTTTATCAGTAAATGATATAAAACGGGAGCATCCAGTAGAATTGCATTAGCCACTTCATTTAGCTTTATGCAATGCAAAAGCGCCCCTCATTAAACCCTGGGAATTAGACCCCCACTGTTGTCATGTTTTGATTGCTGGATGCCAGAGATAAACTAAAGACACGTTGGTGCCCATGTGTGGAGACCTGGGGGGGATCACCTCATGGGCTTTTCATTTTTAGAAGAGCAACGAAAGTGGTTGCTGTTGACTGTGATGTACAGGCCGTTTGAAAGCAGAGGTTTCTCTCTGTGTGCAGTGTCCGCTTAGATTAGGCACTTTCATGTAGACGGGATTCGCGTGGAGGTGGAGGTGGGGGGGCTTTCATTGGCTGGAAGGTTCCATAGTGAATAATCTTCCTGGCACTCTGGAGCCGAGGCTGTTTGTCTGCCGCTCAGGGTTGAATCATCTCGCATGTCCTTTTTAAACCACCGCGCCGCCCCCAGGAGACATCCTGGTCTCTAGGACGCCCGCCCGTGCAGCACAGCGCAGTCCCTCACTGAGTGCCCAGCCTCTGTGCTGCAGAGCAGTCCCCCTTGCACTTGCCGCAGGCTGAGTTTGACTGATTTCTCCCCCTTCCTTCGAAGAGAGAAGGTTCCATTTGTCAAAACAGTAGGATTTTTCTTCCTTTCTTTTCCCTTCAAGCCAGTGGAGGGAGAGGGCTAGTGTTTCGGGATCCACGTTTTGCTGATCTCAAAATAGAGAAAGCACCTCTCCCAGAGGGCTTTGCGGCTTCCCAGGGCCTGTGTCAGCTCAGAGAACAGATCTGCTCATGTGGCCACCTCGGTGGCGCCAGGCCACGGGCCCTGCTCTGTGTGTGGGCGAGGCTGGGCGGATTTCTTAGGCGACAGCCCGTAGCTGGGCTTCGTTCTCCCTGTTCCTGGACAATACTGGTGCCTCGCTGTGGGACACCTCGGATGCAGTAACACATGATAGTTGCCTAGCAGCTTTTCTCTCATGGAAACGGTGGTTTGGGGATCTGGGCCCCACCTTCTTGCTGTGACATTCACATGCTGGAAAAGCCCAGGCATCCAGCACCTCCATCCCCCCTCCTCCTGGGGATAATAATTCGGACCCACTGGCTAACCTTCGGGCGGCTGTGGAAACAAGCAGAGTGTGCACACAAACAGCTGCCGTGTTAGTTCTAAGTGGTCCTTCTGCAGGGTGTTGACTGAAGCACTTGAAAGGTCTCTGCAGAGACAGCCCCGGGCCTGCCAGGAGCCCAGGGAGCAAGTGGAAATTTCCTCTCCTCCAGTTGGTTTTCCTTCAGTTAGTATGAATTTGTGAGATGTGACTGCTCCCTCCCCCCGTAAAGCTGCCAAGCCAGGTTAGCATCTCACCCCACCCGAAGTGCGGGCGCTCCTCGAGGTCGAAGGTCAGGGAGCCAGCGGCCGAGTCTAGTCGGGGAGGACTCAGCAGACGCATCCGGCTTCTGAGCATTCACTGTTTGTTTCCCATGCGTTTTGCCCACAGTGTGTTTCTGGATGATTTTCTTGCAACCGGGACGGGTGAGCAGCCCCCGCAGCTGGAGTTCGAGCAGCTGCCCTTCAGCCACCCCCTCTTCATCATGTTTTCCTCGGGCACCACCGGAGCGCCCAAGTGCATGGTGCATTCTGCAGGGGTAGGTCTCTCTGTCCATCCGTCTTTCTCCTCTCCTGGGGGCTCCCCGCTGCCCGCGGGCGTCTGAGTCACGCTGCACCCATCCCCGGGTCCCAGCACGCGGCCCGCTCTTCAGTTGGGGAGCCACGTGGATATCTGGGCTCGAGCCCGGGCGGTGGGGCACTGCTGTTCCAGGTGCTGCTGTGTGCCTGTCCCCACTGTGGTGGGTGGAGAGGCTGCACAGTACCACCCTGGCAAGGCGTGCGGTGGGTCAGCCAGTGACTTTCACATTGCAGGTCGTGACCCCTTAGGGAGTTGTGAACTCAATGGATGGGCCCTGCCCACGTTTTAAAAGGAATGAGACAGAATAGATGAGAAGAGAAAATATCAGTGCATCACCAATTATAAGAGGTGTTGGTATCGTTTCGTGAAAGTGTCAATATCTAAGTGCGTATATGGATGTGTGCATATGCTGGAGGGCATCGTAACTTATTTCTGACTGTGGGTTGTGGTCAAAAAAATTGAAAGCCACGAGGTTCTGTTCAAGTGCAGTTAACTGGGGAAGAGCTCACCGTGCAGTGTGAGTCCTCTCGGGCCACCGTAACAAATAGCACAGACCGGGCAGCTTAAGCCACAGGAATGGATTTGCTCGCAGTTCTGGAGGTTGGAATTGCAAGACCCGGTGTGGGCAGGTTGGTTTCCCCTGAGCCGCTCTCCTTGGCTCACAGATGGCCGTCTTCTCACTGTGTCCTCGTCACCTGCTCTTTACCTTGTGTGCGTCTGTACTGTCTCTTTGGTTCTAAACTTCCTCTTTTTATAAGGACATCAGTCAGACTGGGTGAGGGCCCACCCTGAGGGCCTCATTTTAACTTACTCACCTCTTCAAAGGCCCCATCTCCAAATACAGTCACGTTCTGAGGTCCTGGGCCTTAGGGCTTCAGCATGAATGTTGGGGGAGCACAATTCAGCCCACAGCACATACTTTTCCATTTTTCTATTTATTTAATCAAAAGTCCATCTTTATTAAAGCACCTGAAATAATACATATCTGCAAAGTACTAGATTTTATACATAGAGATTAGTGACTGCAGCCTTTTATGTTGAACACATTTCAAGCCTGTGGAAAAGCTACAGGAACAGCATGAGGAGCTCCCGGGGCTTCACCAGGCTCACCTGTCATTAGTATTCTCTCTCTCACATTTTTCACACTTTCTTGAAAGGCTCTTCTGCTTCATCTCCCTCTATGTATGTGCACAGATTGTTACCATTATTTTGCTTTTTGCTGACCCTTCGAGAGTACGCTGAGACATCTTCACCCTTCACCCAACACTCCAGCAGCGTCTCCCGGGACAGGAACGTCCTCTTACAGAACCGTCGTGTGGTCATCACCTCAGCGGAGTCACGCTGGTGCGACACGGTCACCTAACCTGCAGCCAGTGCTCCAGCGTCCTGCAGTGGTGCTGGCCACACGGCGCTCAGCTGTCCCCTCTCTAGAGCCCTTCGCTGGAGCAGCTCCTCGGCCTCCCTTTCTCTCCCATGACTTTGACATTTTGTTGTTGTTTTTTTAAAAATTGAGGTCATAATAGTTTATAACATTCTGAAATTTCGGTTGTGCATTGTTATTTGTCAGTCCCCATAGAAATACGCCCCTTCACCCCCCGTACCCATCCCCAAGCCCCTTTCCCCTGTAACCACTGAACTGTTCTCTGTGCGTGTGTTTATCTTCCACATATGAGTGAAATCACATACTGTCTGTCTTTCTCTGTCTGGCTTATTTCACTTAACATAATACCTCAAGGTCCGTCCATGTTGTTGCAAATGGATGATTTTGTCTTTTTTATGGCTGAGTAATATTCCATTGTATAGCTATACCACACCTTCTTTATCTGATCATCAGTCGATGGGCACTGGGTTGCTTCCACATCTTGGCTATTGTGAACAATGCTGAAGTGAACATCGGGGTGCATAAGTCTCTTTGAATTGTTGATTTCAAGTTCTTTGGATAAATACCCAGTAATGGGATAGCTGGGTCACGTATTTCTATTTTTAATTTTTTGAGAAATCTCCATACTGTTTTCGATAGTGGCTTCATCAGTTTGCATTCCCACCAGCAGTGTATGAGGATTCCTTTTTTTCCATATCCTCTCCAACATTTGTTATTTTTTGTCTTGGTGATAATAGCCATTCTAATGGGTATATGGTGATATCTTAGTATAGTTTTGATTTGCGTTTCCCTGTTGAATAGTCATATTGAGCATCGTTTCATGTGCCTGTTGGCCATCTGTATATCTTCTCTGGAGAAATGTCTGTTATATCCTCTGCCTGTTTTTTGATTGGCTTGTTTGTTTTTTTGTTGTTGAGCTGAGTTCTTTATGTATTACAGAGATTAACCCCTTGTTGGATATATGATTTGCAAATATTTTTTCCCAGTCAGTGAGTTGTCCTTTTGTTGTGTTCCTGGTTTCCTTTGCCTTGCAGAAGCTCTTTGGTCTGATGAAATCCCATTTGTTTATTTTGCTTTTGTTTTCCTTTTCCGAGCAGACATGGTATTCGATAAGATCCCTCTAAGACCCATGTCAAAGAGTGTGTTGCCTATATTTTCTGCTAAGAGTTTTAAGGTTTCATGTCTTACCTTCAAGTCTTTGATCCATTTTGAGTTAATTTTTGTGTGTGGTGAAAAATAATAGTGTACTTTCATTCTTTTGCATTTCGCTGTCTAGTTTTCCCAGCACCATTTGTTGAAGAGACTTTCCTTTCTCCATTGTATATTCTTAGCTCCTTTGTTGAAGATTAGCTGTCCGTAGATGTGTGGTTTTATTTCTGGGCTTTTAGTTCTGTTCCATTGATCTGTGTGTCTGTTGGTACCAGTGCCATGCTGTTTTGATTACTGTAGCTTTGTAGCATATTTTGAAGTCAGGGATTGTGATGCCTCCAGCTTTGTTCTATTTTCTCAGGATCGCTTTAGCTATTCGAGGTCTTTTGTTACCCCATATGAAATTTAGGATCCATGTGCATGGAATCTCTCTCCATTTCTTTACATCATCATCGATTTCTTCCAGTAATGTCTTACACTTTTCGTTGTATAGGTCTTTGACCTCCTTGGTTAAGTTTATTCCTAGATATTTTATTCTTTTTTGTTGTGATTGTAAATGGGATTGTATTCTTGAGTTCTCTTTCTGTTAGCTTGTTTTTAGAATGTAGAAATAGAACTGATTTTTGTAAGTTGATTTTGTACCCTGTAACTTTGCTGTAGTTGATTATTTCTAATAATTTTCTGATGGATTCTTTAAGGTCTTCTCTCTCTAAAATCATGTCGTCTGCAAACAGCAAGAGTTTTGCTTCTTCATTGCCTATTTGGATTCCTTTTCTTTCTTTTTCTTGCCTAATTTCTCTGACCCAAACCTCCAGCAGTATGTTGATAAGAGTGGTGATATTGGGCACCCTTGTCTTGTTCCTGTTCTCAGAGGGATGGCTTTCAGTTTTTCCTCATTGAGTATGATGTTGGCTGTGGGTTTGTCATGTTTGGCCTTTATTATGTTGAGGTACTTTCCTTCTATACCCATTTTATTGAGAGGTTTTTTTTATCATAAATGGTTGTTGGATCTTGTCAAATGCTTTTTCTGCATCTATTGAGATGACCGTGTAGTTTTTATTCCTCATTTTGTTAATGTGCTGTATCACATTGATTGATTTGTAGATGTTGAACCATCCCTGTGTCCCTGGTATGAATCCCACTTGATCATGGTGTATAATCTTTTCATTGTATTGCTGTATTCAGTTTGCCAATGTTTTGTTGAGGATTTTTGCATCTATGTTCATCCCCAGTATTGGCCTGTAATTTTCCTTCTCTGTGTTGTCCTTGTCGAACTTTGGGATCAGGGTGATGTTGGCCTCATAGAATGAGTTAGGAAGTCTTCTGTCTTCCTCAATTTTTGGAAGAGTTTGAGAAGGATAGGTATTAAATCTTCTTTGAATGTTTGGTAGAATTCTTCAGAGAAGCCATCTGGTCCTGGACTTTTATTTTTTGGGAGGTTTTGATTACTGTTTCAATCTCTTTACTTGTGATTGGTCTACTCAGATGCTCTATTTCTTCCTGATTCAGTTTTGGTAGGTTGCATGAATGTAAGAATTTATCCATTTCTTCTAGATTGTCTAATTTGTTGGCATATAGTTTTTCATAATATTCTCTTATAATCCTTTGTATTTCTGTGGTATCTGTTGCAATTTCTCCTCTTTAATTTCTAATTTTATTTATTTGAGCCTTCTCTCTTTTTTTCTTGGTGAGTCTGGCTAAGGGTTTGTCGATTTCGTTTATCTTCTCAAAGAACCTGCTCTTTGTTTCATTGATCTTTACTACTATTTATTTTTGTTTCAATTTAATTTATTTCTGCTCTGATTTTTATTATTTCCCTCCTTCTGCTGACTTTGGGCTTTGTTTGTTCTTCTTTTTCTAAGTCTGTTAGGTGTAGTTTAAGATCGCTTGTTTGAGATTTTTCCTGCTTGTAAGGTGGGCCTGTAGTGCTATGAATTTCCCTCTTAGGACGGCTTTTGCTGCACCCGTGTGAGTTGGTATGGTGTATTTTCATATTCGTTTGTCTCCATTTTTTTTTTTGATTTCTCCTTTAGTTTATTTAATGGTCTATTGGTTTTTCAGCAGTGTGTGGTTTAGTCTCCACATCTTTGTCCCTTTCCCAGCTTTTTTCTTGTGCTTGATTCCTAGTTTCATAGCAGCATGATCAGAAAAGATGCTTGATATGATTTCAATCTTCTCAAGTTTATTGAGGCTTGCCTTGTTTCCCAGCATATGATCTGTCCTTGAGGATGTTCCGTGTGCGCTTGAGAAGGATGTATATTTTGCTGTTTTTCAATGGAGTGTTCTCTCTATATCTATAAAGTCCATCTGGTCTAGTTTTTCTTTTAAATCTACAATTTACTCGTTGGCTTTCTGTCTGGATGATCTCTCCATTGATGTAAGAGGGGTGTTCAGGTTCCCTACTTTCATTGTGTTGTTATTAGTATCTC